TCTCCCTCCTCCTCCTCCCCCTCCTTCTTCTTCTCCTTCTCTCTCTCTCTCTCTCAAAATAAACTTAAACAAATAATAATAATAAAAGGGGAGGGGGGAAAGAGTCCTTCACTACTTTAGAGACCCTCCTTTCCACAGAAGTCACATGTTCCATAAACCAAAAGAGTCCCTGAAAAAATTATCTAAATTACTTGTTTTGAAATAAGAAACTGGCGTAGAAAGAAAGGCAGTAAGAAAGAAGAAGGGCAGAAAGAAAGATTTCCTTCTCAGAACTAGGCTCTAATGAGTTGTAATAAGAAATGCAACCACCAACTAGGATTTGCTCTCAGGAAAAACCTTCTTTAGAGGCGGGACCCTGGCTCTGATGAGCATGCTCTGCTTCCCCACGCTAAAACTATAATAGAAATGATATGAAAAAATACATCTCTAGCTCAGGAGGATTTTTTTAGCAATTTTTTCTTGTCTATTTATTTAATATTTTATTGATTTTTGAGAGAGATAAAACACGTGCAGGGAAATGGCAGAGAGAAAGGAAGACACAGAATCCTAAGCAGGCTCCAGGCCCTGAGTTGTCAGTGCAGGCCCTGACACAGGGCTCGAACCCACGAACTGTGAGATCATGACCTGAGCCAAAGTTGGACACACTCAGACGCCCCTTAGGAGAATGGTTTTAAAACATTCACTGAATATATATGCTCTGCTGCCACAAAAAAAAAAAAAAAAAGGGAAAAAAAATTTAAAATTTTTTAAAAAGGTAGGCTAGCACTATAGGAATTTTTCCTAATTCTTAAAAGTATCAACATAACACTAAATTTCGGTAGGTTGCCTTTGTGCTGCATAATAGGTGGTTCTTGCTCTTCCTTTTACTGAAAGAAACACAAAGTATTTCTCCTAAAACCCCGAATATTAACACCATGCTTAACAACTTAGAAAATTTCAACTCTGGTCCCAGTTGTTACTGCTCTACAAAGAAGACTGTATGGCTGAAAACTCGAGGCCATTAATCCATGTGCTTCCTGAATACAACAAGTAAAAAAGTGAAGAAATTCCGTACCAGGAAATCTACTAAAAGCATTCTTAGAAGCTCAAGTCATATTATCATCTAAATTAGATTAACTTCCAAATTCACAGCTAGGAAATTTTATGAGGAAATAAGAGTTATGTCCTTTTCTTTTGAAGAAAACTGCTAAGCTTGTGTTTACTCTAACCACAGGAAATAAAATTCTGGCCCTGAAGACACTGGAAGGGAGGGGGGAGGGAGAAAGGAATGGGAGGAAAGGGGAAAAGGGAAGAAAGGGGGAGAGAGGCAGGAAAATTCAGCAAGTCTTCGCCATAAACACGCTTACATTAAAAATTAAGAAGCAGCTAAACAGAGCCAACTAACTTTATGTACTCTTCAGTTATTCACTGTAATTTTTTAAGGTTTTTAAATCCTTTTATTATAATAGTTGAAATAACAGTAGGGCTCAAATATTCTCTCTGAACCACAGGGAGAGTCCCCTGACTTCCATAACTCTGGCTCAGACACGTTTTTTTTTTAATCTACTTTTATCCGATCTTCCTTTTCTAATGTCCGAGCCAGATGTTTTTTAAAAAAAGAGAAGTGTTGAATCTTGAATGACTCAAATAAGAAACAGAAATTGGACACAGGAATTGATAATACCTTCTCAGGTCAATATAAAACAGGGGTTTTAAACACCCACATACACACAACACCCACGCAGACGGCAGCACCCGTGTACACAGCCGCACACACATACACAAGTGTACTAGACTCTGCCACCACTTACTGTGACACCCTGTCCAAGTCAGTAAGTTGTAATTTTCTCACCATTAATGTTGATGGGATCCAGATAAATCTATTTTAAGACTAAACTGTCCTGATGCCAAGGGCTCCCAAATCAATCCTGGAGTACTGACAACCATCAAACACTAAAGATGTAGGAGGTGCTCAATTCTATTTTTGTCTTCCATATAAGGTATGCTTCCCCCCTAGTGAAGGGGTGGGGGGTGTAGAGCAAGAGTTCCCCTGCTTTAAAAAAACAAAAAAACAAAAAAAAAGCAAAAGCACTCAACAAGCAGATCTCTAAGGTCCACTTGCAAAATTCTAATTTTTTCCGGTAAGATCAGACTGTTTCCATGGTGCACAAACGAATAGGTCCAAGAAGCGAGTAAGGAAAGCCTTAACTTCCTTCTCATCTTGAATCATGTGAACACACTATCTAAACAAGAGCAAAACTACTTTTTAACATTGTCTAAAGACAATATGCACAGTCTGTGAGAACGTGCCCGTGTCTGACAGGCTGGTCCAGCAAAGACGGACAGGCTCAATCCATCCTGGCTAAATTTCCTGCCAAGTAAAGAACTGCTTCAAACCAACCACCAACCAACACATACACATACACATACACATACACACACACACACATACACACACACACGAGCAAAATATGGTTTCATATATTCATCCTGACCTCTGGCATCTCTACCCATATAGCTAAAAGAACAAGAGTCAAATATTACCAGATGATACATTTATTTAAGCAGATAAACGTATAGAGCCTAAGGTCTACACAAAAAAACAGCTAAGTGATCTTTTTTACACATTAGAACATCCCTTTCCTCCTACTTAGGGTTGTCAGATTTAACAAATAAAAACAGAAGATAGCCAGTTAAATTTGAATTTCAGATAAACAATGAGCAAATTTCAGTGCAGACCCGTCCCATGCAGGATCTGGAACATACAGTAAAAATGTATTCGGGGGCACCTGGGTGGCTCAGTTGGCTGAGCGGCCGACTCCTGATTTCAGCTCAAGTCATGAGCTCACAGTTCATGGGTTCAAGCCCTGTTAGTACAGAGCTTGGAATTCCCTCTCCCTCCCTCACTTATGCTCACTCTCGCACTCTCTCTCTCATGAATAAAAAAATCTTTTTAAATTTTAATTATTCAATTTTTATCTGAAATTCAGGTTTAACTGGGTGCCTTCTGTTTCGTATGACAACCATACTCCCATCCCCAGTCGACCGCCAAGTATGACAATTAATTAGGATGACCAGCCACTCGGAGCTGCCCAGATTTTGGGGTTTCCTGGGACACAGGACTGTCAGTACTAAAACCAGTAACGTTCTGGGGCACGTGGCAGCTCAGTAAGTTAAGCATCCAACTCTTGATGTTGGGTCAGGTCGTCATCTCTGATCTTGAGGTTCATGAGATCAAGCCCCACATCAGGCTCTGTGCTGGCAGCTTGGGATTCTCTCTCTCCCTCTCACTCTGCTCCTCCCCAACTTGCATACAAGTGCACACTCTTTCAAAAATACATAAATTTTAGAAAACAAATAAAAAATATGGGGCCCCTGGGTGGCTGAGTAGGTTAAGGTCATGAGCTCATGGTTCATGATTTCAAGCCCTACACTGGGCTCTATGCTGGCATCTCACAGCCTGAAGCCTACTTCAGATTCTGTGTCTCCCTCTTCTCTGCCCCTCTCCTCTCTCTCAGAAATAAACATAAATAAATAAATAAATAAATAAATAAATAAATAAATAAAACCAGGAAAGTTTTAGGCAAACCTGGACAAGCTGGTCTCCCTACAATTAACCATCTCATGGAATGAGCAAATTATAGCTTGGATTCTACCACTAGTTAAGTTTGATCTTTTGTTTATAAAACAACTTTACTACACTTAATTTTCCCATGTGTGTCATCATTTACCTAGTTCACAGAATTTAAAGTGAGGATAAAATGGAATGCAGCAAGTAATAAATGACTCTGGAAAATGCAAAGGGATTATAAATGCTACTTATTAGTATAGGTGATTTGGGCACACAGCTCTGTTACTTCCGAGTTTCAGAGCAGGCCACTACTTGGTTGTACTTACATGCTTTATATGACCTACTGAAAGTACTATTACTTGCAAAACTGGTTTGTTGACATACAAAAAAATGTTCAGTAGACTTGCTCCTTTAAGAACGATGGCCGTAAGCTCTTGGTTTGAGGCCGATTCCTCCATTTATTCATTGTGTAATATGGAACAAGACCCTGAACATTCCAGAGCCTCAGCTTCAGTGTAAAACTGGGGTGACATTAAGAAATACCTCACAAAACTCCCTTCAGGAATAAGGAAAGCAGGTGAAAGCCTTCTCCCATAAACTACAAAATACAATGCATGTTTGAGTAGCACTTTAAATTCATTTATACCAAACTGTATACCAACATTTTTCTTTTAGCTAATTTCTTATACTCCCGCTGATTCTGATACTGAAGCCAATGGCAAGTATCCACGTACTGAGAGCCTAGGCCATGAAGCCAAACAGATGGAGTTTGACTTAGTTCTCCTATTTATTAAACATCACCCTAAGTAAATTACTTTCCTAAGGCTCAGTTTCCTCACCCGCAAAATGTAAAGAACAGTATCTATATCAAAAGACTGCAATGAGGACTACCCAGTTAACATAGTAAAGGATGAGGTGCTTGCCTCATGATAAACACTCAGACCTCAGCTTTGGGGAATCATTATCGATTCATGTTTCATGCATTTAAAATTCTAAAGGTTAGAAGTAGCTGAAATCCTATGTCTATTCATAAAATTCCTTATAAAATAATAAGTAAAAAGAATAATGATACTTAACACACATTAAAAATTTTTAAATAATAATAGCAAAAAATAATAAAATGACGGTCACATGTTGAAATGGTAATATCACTCTAATTAGTGCTAAACTTCATAAAATACAGAGGCTCCTGAGTTCAAACTCCCACAGAAACTTAAATGAAATTCAAACTGAGAAAAGGAAAATCAGTAATATTGGTGAATAACATGGCTTCATATTCCAATGGGTTTGTACTGAATTAAAATTAGCAGGAAAGCTACCTTCTCCTAACTTTCATTATTTTACAATCACAAAATGGGAAGAATTAAATTTTTTTTCTCCTGGACAGTTTATACATACTTAATACATTTTATGCCTAAGAGAAATATTTTATAATTAAAAAACCTTTTACCAGTTGCCAGTGGTAGGAGGTGCTACTGCCTTCAAGGTATGCGCCTTTGTTTCAATTACCTGTCAAAACATACAGAGACAAAAGTTATACTTGTGGTCTGGTTAATCGGGGCCAAATATCAGCCTTTTCCTAGAGACAGTTTTACTTCCAAAAACTCACAGAAAATTTTGTGGGTTTTTCCTGAAAACACCATCTCTCACACTAGCAAATGACATTTTATCACACAATCTTTCACCAGAAAAAGCATATGATTTATTACTCCACACATAGAATCGCCAAAATCCAAAACACTAACATCACCAAACATTGGCAATACAGTGCAAGAGGAACTCACTCAATGGTGGCAGGAATGCAAACCGTACAGCCAGTCTGGAAGACAAGTATGGCAGCTTTTTACAAATCTAAACATATTCTTTACAATGTGATCCAGCAACTGAGCCTCCCTGATCTTTATCCAAATGAGTTGAAAGCTTAGGTCTCAAGGGGGGAAGGAGGGAAACTAAATACAAATACTTATAGCAGCTTTATTCATAATTGCCACAACTTGTAAGTGACCACGACTTCCTTCAGTAGGTGAATGTATAAACTGTGGTACATCCAGACAATGGAATATTACTTGGCACTAAAAAGAAATAAGCTATCAAACATGGAGGAAATTTAAATGCATATTACTGAGTGAATGAAGTCAATCTCAACAAGCCACATACTATATAATTCAAAATCTATGACATTCTGGGAAAGGAAGAGCTACTGGGACAGGAAAAGGTTGCCAGGAGTCAAGGAGGAAGGTGGCATGAAGGGGCAGAGCGCAGAGATTTTAGGGTGGCAGAACCACCCTGTATGCTCTAATGATGCACACAGGTCATTACATATTTGTCAGAACACCGTGAAATGTGTAACACCAAGCATGAGCCCTCATGTAAAATAAAGTCTTTTGAGTGTTAATGATTTATCAGTCTAGGATCACGGAGTATAATAAATGTACTACTCTGGTGTAGGGTTACTGATCATGGGGAAGGCTGTGTATATGTGAGGGCTGGGGGCTTAGAGGAAAATCTCTGAACCCTTTGATCAATTTTGCAGTAAATCTGAAACTGCTCTAAAAAATAGTCTATTTTTTTTTAACAACTACAACAACAAAAAACATACATCCAAAAAAATTTTTTTTTTTTTTTATGTTTTATTTATTTCTAGGAGAGAGAGAGAGACAGCGTGAGCAGGGGAGGGTCAGAGAGAGAGGGAGTCACAGACTGAAACAGGCTCCAGGCTCTGAGCTGGCAGTCAGCACAGAGCCCGACGCGGGGCTCGAACCCACGAACCGCGAGATCATGACCTAAGCGAAAGTCGGACGCTTAACCGACTAAGCCACCCAGGCGCCCCACATCCAAAAATTTTAAGATGCATATTGTTTATGCTCTCATGATGATAATGGTGAAGAAAAATAATTACTAAGATTTATAAACAGTATTTCACTGTGTATATAACACTTTCATCCATTATCTCAGTGATTTGTTCAATTGCGTGAAGCAGATAGGTTTGCAATCATTATAGTCACTAAAGAAATATTTTAGGGGCACCTGGGTGGCTCAGTCAGTTAAGCGTCTGATTTCAAGTAAGGTCATGGTCTCATGGTTCATGAGTTCAAGCCCCCATCAGGCTCTATGCTGACAGCTCAGAGCCTGGAGACTGCTTTGGATTCTGTGTCTCCCTCTCTCTCTGCCCTCCCCTGCTTGCACTCTCTGTCTATGAAAAATGAATAAATGTAAAAAAAATTTTTTTTAGAAAAAGTAAATATTTTAACATCAGCCCAAACTAAGAGCCTGTAAGAAGAGCTGTTTATTAATTTCTTCATTCTCTATAAGGCAGTCAGATATACTAAAAAAAAAAGTAACAAGCCTTAAAACCAGATATTCCTGGGTCCAAAATCCCCACTCTGTTCCTCATTAACTATGACTCCAGAGAAATTCATGTTTATTCTTCCATCTATCCATCCAAGGCTGGGGGTGGGGGGTGGGGGGAGGGTATCCTATAAATTTCCCCCGCTATTTTTTGTGCCAGTTTCTTCATATGTGAAGATGAAGAAACTGTAAATATGTAAATAATTCATAATATTTGGGTTTCTATAAATAAAAGACAACTCAGCAGAAAAAATAGGCTATATATATCCATGAAAAAAAACCTAAACGCCATTAAGTATGGAATAGTCAGCCTCACTAGTTATCAAAGAAACACAAATAAAAACATTATCACTTCCTCCACTGAATTTTTTTAATTAAAAAAAAAACCAACATCACAAGCCTTGGCAAGGATGCAGGAAACGAGACTGCCCTTGGCTCTGCTGGGGGAGGTGCAGCCACCGTGGAGAGCAGCCTGACAGCACCCAGCAAAAGCTGAAAAAGTAAATTGCTACAACCGAGCAAATCCCTTCTAAAAAAATTTGCCCTGGAGAAATTCTGGCACATGTGCATACTTACTTTACCCTGTTTTGTTGTGTTAATTAAATAGTCTACCATGACAGGTCGCAGTATTTAACTGGCCCTTAAGAAATGCTGAATCTCCTCAACAAATATTTAGTGAATGCCTACTTGGCCCATACCTAATGCTTCCCATTCTGGAAATGTGCCCACGGTACTCAGAGAAGTGCCACTCCTGTGGCAGAGACAGGAACGACAAATAGTACAGACATGGCAAACACTCCCGGTAAGTCCACAGGCTGTATTAAAAATACAGACAAATGCAGTCCTCTGTCCAGGAGGGGGAAAGGTCAAGGAAGGCTGGCTAAGAACTGAGCTGATCCACATATCGTTGGCAAAGGAGACGAGAGAGGAAACCACAAGCAGTAAGAACAGCATCTGCGGAGGTATTCACGGGCTCCTAAGTACCTGTAAGCAGGCTGATTAATGACCCCACAGCTATCAGGCCCTAAGCTCTGGCACCTGTCAGTGTTACCTTATTTAGGAAAAGCGGCTTTGCAGGTGTGATTAAATTAAGGGTCTGGCGAAGAGGGGGCAGCCTGGGATTACCAGCCGAGCCCTAAAGTGCCATCACAAGTGTCCTCAGCAGAGAGGCAGTAGGAGGTCGGACAGAGAAGGCAATGTGAAGACGAGCAGAGATGGAAAGGGCTGGCCTGGAAGGCAGGGAGATGCCACTGAGTGCACATGCACAGAGGAGCCAAGGGCAGATCTTCTCAGGAGAGGACTCCCGCCGTGCTGCCCCCTCCGTTTCAGCCCAGTAAACTTCTGGCCTCTTAACTGTAGGAGAATAAACCTGTGATCTAGGAAACAAAGGCCGCATCTCAGGGGCACCGCCCTGTGCGCCATGCTAAGTGGTTTAGATAGTATCCAAATCTCTGAAGAGCCGTCCAGATTTTTACCCAGAACAGCATGTCAGATTGCTTTCGTAATGTTAAAGCTGGTGCCACTGTGGAGAATTTACTGAAGAGGGGGTGGAGGGGAGGAAACAACTAGAAACAGAAAGATCAGAATCAAAAATCTGGAGAGAATATGAAGTTCTGGGTCACCAGATATTTGACCAAAAAACCCATCGCGACGAAAGACAGATGAAAACTGAAGGGGTGGGGGGAGGGAAGAACAGGACTCAAAACAGACGATGTAGGAAACAGGAAATACTTTAAAGATGTGCAACTAATCTTTCAAAAAGGTATGAAAGACTATTCCATTGATGAAACAAGAACAGGGCAGCATATAGGATGAAAAATAAGAAAAAGCGCTTATGAAGAACAGCACCTGAAATTAATTTAAAAGTCAACAGAGGGGCACCTGGGTGGCTTAGTCAGTTGAGGGTTGAGCGTTCAGTTATTTCGGCTCAGGCCATAATCTCATGTTTCATGAGTTCGGCCCCGCGCGGGGCTCTGTGCTGACGGCACAGGGCCTGCTTCAGATTCTCTCTCTCTCCCCTCCTCGGCCCCTCACTTGTTCATATTCTTTCTCAAGATAAATAAACTTAAAAAAAAAAAAAAAGTCAGCAGATATATTAGAAAAAAGGTTGAGAAAATTTTCAAAGAAAGGAAAACAAAACCAAAGTAGAAAACGGGTGTCAAAAAAGATTTTTAAAAATAAAGGTGAAGTCAGGGCACAAAGGTACAAGAGCACCTGGCTCTGGGGCTCCCGAACAGTCCAGGCCTGGCCCCTCGCCACCGACAAGATCCAAAGGCCGAGGGACAGGGACAGGTGAAATAAAAAAGGAATCTATTGCAGCGAGGCCAACACTGCGAAGGCAGTGAACCAATGCTTCAGAGATGGTCTCCAAAGGGCTAAAAACCCTCTAGGTTTACACAAGGGAAACGCGGGACAGAGGTCGGGGGTACGCGCAGTAACGGCAGGTGGACTGCGGTCTTGGGATCACCATGCAGGCTCTGGCGGCTCCGGACAGTGCTTATCGCTTGAGGGGGCAGTTGTGGTTCCCGTTACCAGAGGCCCTGTGCAGGGTCTTTCACTTGGATTACGAGATAAGCTGCAAAGAAAAACTTAATGAGAAACTTTGAGGTCAAAATGGAGGTAAAGTCCTCTGTCAAGGTGTCAAATTAATCCAAAAGACCAATTCCACTAAAAGGACTTCTAGAACAAAAGAGCAGAGAATGAAGAGGCAGCAATTACTGAAGCGCCGTGCAGTATGATACCGCAGAGTTGATGGCCACTAGGCTTCAGGTCGACAGGGCCTGCTCAGTGTTGAGCAGATGAATGGAGGGGGGGGGGGGGGGACAAGGGGGAGACAGAAAAAAATACCTGACCTCTAGACACAGTCTTGTGAATTCTCAAAGCACCAGGTTTAAGACTATCCTAGGGGTGTCTGGGTGGCTCAGTTAAGTCTCCAGCTCCTGACTTCGGCTGGGGCCATGATTTCCCAGTGGTGGGACTGAGCCCCACAGTCAGGCTCTGCACCAGATGTTCGGCCTCCTCTCCCTCTCTCTCTCTGACCCTTCCCTGCTCATGCACACACACTCTCTCAAAATAAATAAACTTAATATATACGTATCCTAAAATCTTCCAAAATCCCAAAAACCAGGTCACCTACAAACAAGGTTAATTGTAGAACTGAC